AGCGAGACTCCATCTCAGAAAAAAAAAAAAGAAAAAGCAAGAACTGTATTGAGTCTGGTGGAAAAGAGAGATGGTTTGATAAAACAAGCAAGTCTCTATAATTTTGGCAACAGAGAGGAAAGAGAAAAGGATAGAAGAAAAAAGAGGAAGGAAGAAAAGTAGGTAGAGAGGGAAGAAGAAAACAAAGAGAAAGAAAAAAAAAAGAGAAAGAACCCCATACACTAAATGTACCGTTTCCATTTGTCCACCAGAGGGGGGTATGTTAACTGGTGGGAATAGAGGCCAGGCTAAAAGATTTTCATAAACTTTTTACAGGTGTTATGGTTTGTTAAAATGGAGCATTCTAATGTTATAATTTATTTTTAAAGTGTAGCTATGAAAATTATTATTTTATAAAGGTTTCTTCACTTTAACAACACATCACAGCAGGCTCGCTTAAGTACTTGTAAAAGTATAAAATTGTATTTTATTTTTAAACAGTATTACTTGTCAGGATTTATTCACTAGTATATGAAAATATATCCTTTTTTATTTTTTATTTTTATTTCTTTTTATTTTTTTATTTTATTTTATTTTATTTTTTTGAGACGGAGTCTCGTTCTGTTGCCCAGGCTGGAGTGTAGTGGCGCAATCTCAGCTCACTGCAAGCTCCGCCTCCTGGGTTCACGCCATTGTCCTGCCTCAGCCTCCCGAGTAGCTGGGACTACAGTCACCCACCACCTTGCCCAGCTAATTTTTTGTATTTTTAGTAGAGATGGGGTTTCACCATGTTAGCCAGGATGGTCTCGATCTTCTGACCTTGTGATCCGCCCGCCTCGGCCTCCCAAAGTGCTGGGATTACAGGCGTGAGTCACTGCTCCTGGCCTATTTTTTATTTTTTTGAGACCTCGGTGGGCAGATCGCGTGAGCCCAGGAGTTTGAGACCAGCCTGGGTAACATGGCAAAACCCCATCTCTACCAAAAAATGCAAAACTTACCCAGGCATGGTGGTGCATGCCTGTAGTCCCAGCTACTTGGGAGGCCGAGGTAAGAGGATTGCTTGAGCCCAGGAGGTTGAGGCTGCAGTGAGCTGTGATTGCACGACTGCAAATCCAGAGTGAGACCCTGTCTCAAAAATAAAAAATAAATAATAAAAGAATGGAGTACTTATTTAGGAAATTTAAATTACCATACTTGTTTAATGAGCTGATTGTATAAGTTATTCTCAGAAAGCCCTGGTTGGGAAAGATGTTTTAGAAAAAATAGGATTTTGATGTGAAAATCTTTTTAAGTCATTATAGGTAGATGAATGTTTTCATGGCATCTTTTTTGGCCGAGCCTGTAAAATTAATTAGATTATAATAATTATTACTACTTTCAATAATCATACAGCCAGAAGCTATATTTCTTTCTCTCCAAGTAGGTATGCTCTTAAACTATCCAAGGAATTTAGCTACTTACACTTTTCTGTAAAATCTCCAAAGAAGGTATTACACACTTACTTCCACAGGAAAAAAAAAAAGAAAAGCAGCAAATAAAATAGGTATGGTAAGGAAGTACTTCTGGCTTCCTGGAACTTCCTTATATTGAGACTGAATTCTTGGCCTGGCGTGGTGGCTTATGCCTGTAATCCCAACACTTTGGTAGGCCGAGGCAGGTGGATCGCAAGGTCAAGAGCTTGGCCAATATGGTGAAGCCCTGTCTCTACTAAAAATACAAAAATTAGGCATGGTGGTGAGCGCCTATAGTCCAAGCTTCTCAAGGAGAATCGCTTGAACCCGGGAGGCAGAGGTTGCAGTGAGCTGAGATCGTGCCATTGCACTCCAGCCTGGAGACTCTGTTTAAAAAAAAAGAAAAAGAAAAAGAAAAAGAGACTGAATTCTTGTTGAAATTTAAGCTCAGGCTGGGCATGGTGGCTCACACCTAAAATCTCAGTACTTTGGGAGGCTGAGGTGGGAAGACTGCTTGAGGCCAGGAGTTCAAGACCAGCCTGGGCAAAATAGCGAGACCCGTCTCTGCTTAAAAATAAAATAACATAATTTTATTTTATGTGCCTATAGTCCCAGCTACTCAGGAGGTAGGAGGAGATTTGCTTGAGCTCAGGAGTTCGAGCCTGCAGTGAGTTATGTTGGTACCAATTATCTCCAAAAAAGAAAGAAATTTTAGTTCCTATGTCTTGGGAAAGTAAGGATTTAACCTGGAGTGGGTCAATTTTAGCTTATTTAAACAACTGGAACTAGATATTTTTTGCCTCCTAATTCTGAATACAAAAAGAATGCAGCCAAAAGAATCATCATTATTGATCCCTGAAAAATGTACTCCAGTTCAAAAATCCTTATTAGAAGACCAGTATGCCAGTAAAACATAAAGTTATATATATATAGGAGCAGCTATCATATACCAGGAACATAATATTGAAATGATGCATGAGGACTGTGAATAGGATTAGGCTTCTAGCTGAGTATTCCTACCTATTTGATTTAATATCAATTTTTCTTTTATCCTTTACTGAGAATTCTATTTGGGTGCTTAAGGGCAATACAAATTATCAGCAAGAGGCTGAATTGGAATAAGAGGAGGTCCCACTGTGATATGTTACAAAGTAAATCTCATGAATAATTTTTTTTTTTTTTTTTGAGACAGTCTTGCTCTGTCACCCAGGCTGGAGTACAGTGGTGTAATCTTGGCTCACTGCAACCTCCGTCTCCCAGGTTCAAGCGATTTTCCTGCCTCAGCCTCCTGAGTAGTTGGGATTACAGGCACCTGCCACTATACCCAGCTACTTTTTGTATTTTTAGTAGAGATGGGGTTTCACGTTAGCCAAGCTGGTCTCGAACTCCTGACCGTAAGTGATCTGCCCACCTTGGCCTTCCAAAATGCTGGGATTACAAGCATGAGCCATCACGTCTGGCCAAAAATTTTTAATTGCAATAAATGATGAGACATGACAAGTTCTATGATGGCCATAAATAAATGTATGTAGCGAGGAAAATGAGGTTACATAATGTATACATTATTATACCTTGATTTTCCTTATGTACATTGTTATTCATAGTTCACAGATTTGACATAAGGTTTAATTAGTATTTATAATGTATTTAAGAATACCCTACTAAAGCATATGGTAGGTAGACACAGTATTATTAAACATAATAATTTTTACATTTATATGTCACTTTTCATTTAAGGTTTTCAATTCAATAACTAATTGTTTCCTTAATGTATGATTTCCACTTCATTTCAGGAGGAATTTAGGAACAGGCAAATTTTCACATGACAGAATATAATAAAGTTTCCCTTTACAATACCCCGATCATTTTGCAACATTTTTAAATGAAAAATTTTAAACATACAGAAATGTTTAAAGAATCTAATATTTGCATATGTACTCCTTCATTATGGGTAACACATTTAATTATATTTTGTTCAGGGCTAGAGCACTGGAGGTTATAATTATTAAATCAATCGGACTGGCCGGATGTGGTGGCTCATGCCTGTAATACTAACACTTTGGGAGACTGAGGTGGGTGGATCACTTGAGCCCAGGAGCTCAAGACTAGCCTGGGCAACATGGCAAAACCCTGTCTCTACAAAAAATACAAAAGTTAGCCAGGCATAGTGACGCAGGCCTGTAGTCCCAGCTACTTGCGGAGCTGAGGTGGGAGGATTGCTTGAGCCTGGGAGGTTGAGGCTACACTGATCCATGACCATGCCATAGGTGACAGAGTGAGACCCTGTCTCAAACAAAACAAAACAAAACAAAACAATCAGACAGATATATGTTTTTTAACCCAGTCTTGGGGAATATAAGAATGTCCTATTTGCTACCTTAGGAATTTAGTATGATTTAGTATGCTTGATAGTATCTTTCTCTAGCTTTGAAAAAAAAAATCATGGGCCAGGTACAGTGGCTCAGGGCTGTAATCCCAACACTTTGGGAAGCTGAGGCAGGAGATCGCTTGTGTCTAGGAGTTCCAGACAAGCCTGGGCAACATGGTGAGACCTTGTCTCTATAAAAAAATAAAAAAAAATAGCGGGTGTGGTGGTGGGCACCTGTAGTCCTAGCTACTTGGGAGGCTGAGGTGGGAGAATCACTTGAGCCCAGGAGGTTGAGTCTGCAGTGAGCCGTGATTGTGCCACTGCACTCAGCCTGGGTGACAGAGTGAGACTCTGTGTCAAAAGAAAAGAAATAAAAATCACGGAAGACATCTATTCTGTCTTGTAAAAATTTAAGATATATGAAAAGAGTAGAGGAGGAGGAGGAGGGAGAAGAGAAATTATTTATTGGGATGCAATATGTGCCAAAGATAGTATTAGGCATCCTTGCATGTATTATTTTATCTGATCCACACGACTACCCTGTGAGATATTATTCCCATTTTACACATAAGAAAACTGGCTCAGAGAAGTCAAGTAATTTGTCTACGGCTGTGAATTCAATTTAAATTCACAGCTTAAACTCTTCTCACTACATCTGAATGCATCATTTTCAAGATCTTTTCTGGGCCTGGAGTAAGTTGACAGTATTTATGTAAAACATGTAATACTGCTCCTCCTCCCCACGCACATTCACATTTACTGTGATTAATACACATGTTAATAAAACCCTAGACTTAGAACTAGGATATAGAATCCAGTCGTTTAGGTACTTAATGTTTAGTTCTCCCCTCCAGAAAATAGGAATAATTACCGCGTCTCTTGCACTGCAAAGAATTGATGTGATAATTAGGGAGCTAAGATTAGTTACCAGTCATAACAAGAATAAACTACGACTCCCAAAATGCCCAGAGGAAGAGGTTGACGCCAGTCCAGGAGACAGTTCCAGCTTTAGGGCAAAGGTGACCTCACTGGGTCCCGTGGCGAAAGAGCCGTCGGTCCTCGACTTTTTTCTGATGCATCCAGGGATTTGTAGTTCCCTTACGGCCACCAAGTGCACTTAGGGCAGGCCTCTTACTACGAGTCCCGTGATGATCCGAGGCCGGGTAGCGGCTGCGTATTGAAGCCGAGGGAGCGTGCGGGCGGTGCTAGTGGCGAGAGGAGTAAAGATGGCGGCGCGAGGGTCTCCGCCCTCTGCTCCCGGCTGAAGCGCTCTGAGGGAGGCGGCAGCGGCAACCCGAGCCCCAACAGTAATTTAGTGTTGGTAGTTTTGGCAGCAGCTGCCGAGGCCGGAGCAATGGCGGAGCTGGAGCACCTAGGAGGGAAGCGGGCAGAGTCGGCGCGAATGCGGCGGGCAGAGCAGCTTCGGCGCTGGCGGGGCTCGCTGACAGAGCAGGAGCCCGCGGAGCGACGAGGCGCGGGGCGGCAGCCGCTGACCAGGCGCGGGAGCCCCAGGGTCCGCTTCGAGGACGGTGCTGTCTTCCTGGCCGCCTGCTCTAGCGGGGACACCGACGAGGTGAGAAAGCTTCTGGCAAGAGGTGCTGATATCAACACAGTCAACGTGGACGGCTTGACAGCCCTGCACCAGGTAACTCCTTTCTCGGTCTTAGAGGCGTCCAGTCTCCTACAGATGTGTCTTTGACCCTGCGAGCCGCCCCATGGGGAGTATCAGTGTTGCCGCCGAGTCCTTCTGCATGGACACTGCCCTTTTGGGCTAATCGGTTTCATTCTTGGCCAGCTTCCTCCACTAATCAAGTCTTTTTCTGACCCCAGGATCTCTCTACCTGAAGGAATAGTGTCACCCCGCTGCTTGGTCAGTGTTTGTGTTTCCCTCCACCTACTTGTGTTGTCATGGTTACTGGTGATTTTTGTCCCTGGTCGTATCCCTATAGATTAGTTATCTTCACTTATGTCTGGTTGGCGTGCCTGCACGCCGTGTCACTCATAGGCACAGTGTCATTTGTCTGATGCCCTTTCAGAAAATTCAGTTGTTGTGTGTCCCCATTATAGAATATCTTAGATCACTTAAAGAGTAAAGCCCTATACTGGGTAAAGACAAGCAGGTCTGAAACCACACCTCTTGTTTTGTTGATTTGTAGTGCTTAAAAACAGTTTGTGTCGCCTCTAGGCTATAGCTCCTAGAACACCCCGGACCTCGTTGTTATAGGTATCTTAACTTTCTTCTCAGCAATGCTACCTCCCCGAGAGCTTCCTGTGGAGAACTAAGTTATTGAATTACTTCTGTCTGTTTGGTACTTATGGAATAGCTTTTCTATTTTTCTATTTTTTTTTTTTTCTAAAGCGCTCTATAGAAATCCCATGCCCTATACGTAGCTATACTATATGGATTGTGGATAATCTGTGCTTGGTAACGACACCTTATAGTTCATCGCCTAATGCAGCAATATTCTCTATCTACTGACTGCCATGACTAACTACACCCTCTCGCCTCAAATCAGTTATTTTGGTGAGCTGAGAGCCGGACACCCACTCTTAATCTTTTGTCTTTTTCTTCTTCTGCCGTCTGTGCAAAGTGAATGTGTTGGCATGAGAATCCACTTCTAAATAATAACTCAACTTTATGTCAGACCACTTCCCTAAATATATTTAGTCAATAGCTTAAAGTTACTTCTATGTTTGCAACCCTTCTCTTTCAGGTAGAAGAAACTTTTTCACCCTAATTTTTTCTAAACTAATTCACCCATTGTTTTTTTCCTGCTCGTAATATTTCCCCATCTGTGGTAGTAACCAATATTTGCAGAGTGCTTTGCTGTTTGATTTCATATGTCTTACCCCATGTGAGTTTCAGCAGTGATCCTTTGAAGTAGGTGTGGCAGGTAGTGTTGTTATTCTCATTTTACAGATGAGGAAACTGAAGCTCAGGAAAATTATTTGTGCAAAGTTAGAAAGTAAAGAAGTGACCCATAGGCATGGATTTTTCAGATTTACATCCCAGAGATCTATATCCCACTTAATAAGGAGCTGAATGTAAAATGAGATAAAAGCTAAGAGAACCACATTAAATTTTAAACTTTACATTTCTGAACTATTTGGGAAGGTGAATTCTTGTTTTTCTTTTTCTTTTTTTTTGAGATGGAGTCTCGCTCTGTTGCCCTGGCTGGAGTGCAATGGCGAGATCTTGGCTCACTGCAACCTCCGCCTCCTGGGTTCAAGTGATTCTCCTGCCTCAGCCTCCCAAGTAGCTGAGATTACAGGTGCCTGCCACCACGCATAGATAATATTTGTATTTTTAGTAGAGATGGGGTTTCACCATGATGGCCAGGCTAGTCTCGAACTCCCAACCTCAGGAGATCCACCTGCCTTGGCCTCCCAAACTACTGGGATTATAGGTGTGAGCCACTGTGCTCAGCTTAGTAATCTATTGAAATAAGAGAAGAAGGGGATGACAGCTATTAATTTTTTTTAACATCTATAAATGCAATATAAGCGTTCCTTTCAATTTATAGGGCTGACAAGGAGTTAAATTGAATAGGTATACTCAATTCTAGACAAATTCAGGTAAAAATTAAGCTGCTTAAAGATTTGAGGTCTTCTGTTGAGAAATTATATCTTTGAATCCAGACAACGGGCCTTTATTGGCTTCAGAACATTGCAAGTCAGTTTCCAAAGAGTTACAATATGTTTTTCCATGACTTGGAGAAGTTTTTGTTGTTGTTATTGTTTTTTAAAAAAATAAAACAAAACAGAGTCTCACTCTGTCTCCCAGGCTGGAGTACAATGGTGCAGTCTCGGCCCACTGCAACCTCCACCTCCCAAGTTCAAGCTATTCTCATGCCTCAGCCTCCCAAGTAGCTGGAACTATAGGTGCCCACCACCATGCCCGGCTAATTTTTATATTTTTAGTAGAGATGGGATTTCACCATGTTGACCAGGCTGGTCTCAAACTCCTGGCCTCGAATGATCTGTCCGCCTTGGCCTCCCAAAGTGCTGGGATTACAGGCATGAGCCACCATGCATGGTCGACCTAGAGAACTCCTAAGGTACGTAAAAGACTACTTTCAAAAGTGAGACTGGAGCTATCTGTAGCTGAACCACCTACTTTACAACAGATTCACCTTCTGTGAAATGCAGAGTGAGTGGTATAATTGTATGAATTATTTATTTAAAATGTCCATCTGTTATATAAGCATGATATAAATTATCTGGATAATTGCTTCTTTTCTCTCTTTTGACCATGGCCACTTGACCAACTGTGGATTATTGTCTTGGCATGTTAGTAGCCCCCAGATAGTACTGGGGGAAAGTTTTTCTCCGCCTACAATGTCACAGTAGATGATTTGCACTGCAGCTTGTGGTGCCTTGATGCTTCTTTTGGACTTAGAGACCTTCTTTCCTGGCAGCCTTTGCTGAGACCACGAGGTGCTTGAGTCAAAGATAACAAGCTCCAGGGGGCCTGTTAATAATACTTGAATTAGACTGGGATAAGAAGTATCTCAAAGGTTAGACCAACTCTGATGAAAGCCTTGGAAACTGATGCAGACTAAATTTCAGTGACTATATTAAGATTTGATGTGTATGCATGTGTTGTCCTAGAGTCCTTAATGAACAAGGTACTAATCTGATTATAGAACCCTTGAAAGCACTTGTTTGCTCACAAAGGAATTTCTGTTTCATTTGCATATACACATTGTAAGGCCAGGAATATTTGTTAATAATTCTATGTGGTCTAGTACTTTAAATTTTTTCTTTTATTTATTGAATAAGTTTGACTGTTAGCACCTATCTTGGTATCCTTAGCATTATAATCTTAGGTACTCTAGGCCTAGATACATGCCCTTAAAAACTGTATCTACCAAATTATTGCTGTTGGAAGAGGCAAGTACCTGCTTTCAGAAAAGAGATTTTTCTAGGATTCATTAAAATGAATGCTTACTTACTTCAGCATGTATTACATTGACTCTTAAATCTGTGCTGAGTGTGGTGAGGGATACTGGATGCCAATCACCATAGGTCTTGTCTCTTAGCACAGTCTGATCAGTTTTCATTTGGATGAATATCAAGGAGACTATCAAGGAGATTAGAATAATTCCATACTTGACTCAGAAACTCAGACGGGCGGCCCGGGGCAGTGGCTCATGCTTGTAATCCCAGCACTTTGGGAGGCCAAGGCAGGTGGATCACAAGGTCAGGAGTTCGAGACCAGCCTGGCCAACATTGCAAAATCTTGTCTCTACTAAAAATACAAAAATTAGCCTGGTGTGGTGGCGCACAACTGTAGTCCCAGCTACTCAGGGAGGCTGAAGGCAGGAGAATCGCTTGAACCCGGGACGTGGAGGTTGCAGTGAGCCAAGATCACACCACTGCACTCCAGCCTGGGCAACAGAGTGAGACTCCGTTTAAAAAAAAAAAGAAAAAGAAAAAAGAAATTCGGACTGTCTTTGTGAAGTGCAGGGTCCAAATTTGGACCCTCATGGGCACCCCAGACTGGAATTCAATTTGTAGTTGAATAAGCCTTTGTCATTCTAGAGTTGCCTCAGTCTGACGCTGTAGCCTCAGGGAGGCTAAAATCACGTATTTCTCGTGAAAAGAGATGGAGATAGGAACAAGTGAGGGGAGGAGGATAGGCTGAGCAATTTTTATTCAGACAGAGACAGAAGATGAGCAAGATGACTGTGTGTTCAGTTCCATATAAAATAGTATATTTTGCGTGCTAACTTATATGGTAAAATAAAACTTGTGCTTTTAACCTTTTCTCTTTTATTCTAAATGTATTACTCATTCCTCTCCTAGTTCCACCTTTGAAGTTACTTTTTCCTTACCCTGAATGTTGATGAATTCTGCTTGGTGTCAGGACCCATGGCAACATAGGATTCTGAAAATCCTATTTGCTCCTTTATTACTGTTCATCTAGAATAGTCGTCTGTCCTGAACCATTTTAGTAGCTTACCTCTTCAAATGGCTTAATATGTTGCATCAGACTATGTTGGACCTCAAAGCCATATTGGGAAACTCAGCTTTGTATGTGTGTGTTTTTGTTTTTGAAAGTATAGATAAAAATGACTTTCATTTGTTTCACAGAATTTCTTCCCTATTCTTCTTCTTCTTCTTTTTTTTTTTGGTGACAGGATCTTGCTCTGTTACCCAGACTGGAGTGTGGTGGTGTGACCATGGATCACTGCAGCTGCAACCTCTCAGACTCAAGTGATCCTCCTACCTCAGCCTCCCTAGTAACTGGGACTGCAGGCACACCCCATCATACCCAGCTAATTTTTAAAATTTTTTGTAGACAAGAGGGTCTCACTATGTTGCCAGGGCTGATTTTGAGCTGTTGGGCTAAAACAATCCTCCCCCTTCAGCCTCCAAAAGTGCTTGGATTACAAGTGGGAGCCACCACACCTGGCCTCTCCCCAATTCTTAAACTCATGCTGAATAACTATATATCACCATTTGGGCTTTTAGAATCATCTTCTCCATAAGTATTTTGAAATAGGCAACCTGTTAAGATATGTGGATTAAGCACAGTTCTGCCAAAGGTAAGGAGTTGGACCAGTCTTGTTGGTAACAGAAAACTAAGTCGTTTATTTTTTTCTTTTTAAATATTTTAAAATTAAGATACACTTTGTATAC